CGTTGCAGTTTCGCGCGCGTCCAGCGAGCGAGCGCCAGAACCAGCAGTTGGGCGATCTGGTTGATATTTTGCGTGGCCCTCCCAGCAGGGGCGTTTCATGACGGCGAGGGCCACCGACGGTAGTGAATGCCAATTGGATCTTTGAAGGCGCGGTGGATGCGCCGTGGCAGTCGCGGAACGTCAGCTGCCGTCTTGCAGATGTCCGAGGTATTTTCGTTATCGGCGATGCTTCATCTCAGCGCGTCAGGCAGCACTGGGAGTTGCCATTGGCGCACAGGACTTTCCCGATAGCATCGAACATGGATCGATGGCCGTGGCATGTGTGAATACTCCAGCTGGCTGGAAGTGGTCGAGGCAGTGCGCTCGGTATCCCATGGTCTTTCATGGCGTGCTCCGCGTTGCCTCGTGTTACCTGATGCTTTACTGTTGCAGTGGGGGCAGTTTTTTTTTGCACGGCGCAACGGACTTGGATTGCATGCCGGGCGTGGACCAGACGTTATTCATGTGCTAGAAATCTGGCGGCTTCTTGGTCGGCGGTGGCAGCGATCCTCATCGTGGCAGCCGTGGCATTACAGGACTTTGAGCTGGCACGTCAAGCTGCACCTGACTTGCCGCATTTTGGACGCATGTATGAGCGAGAGCGTGTTTCTTCATTGCCTCAGGCCGCACACACACACACACGCACGCGCACGCACACACACGCACACGCACCACACGCGCACACACACGCGCACGCGCGCGCGCCTATAATGTACCCCCCCCCCCCAGTGCGCTCCAAGCACTGCCGCCGTGCGCGTCGGGATCAGCATTTGCGTCCGTATAGGAATCCGCACAGTGGCCTGGTCCGCATTGGACATTTCACAGGGATCTACATAGGCATGCGCGTGCGCATCTGCATGGGGATCCGCACAGGGATCCGCGTAAGGGAACGCATATGGATTCGCACGGCACTGCGCATGTGCATCCGCGTTGGCTTCCGCATCGGGATCCGCGTAAGCATCCGAATAGGGATCCGCGATGGACCCGCATAGGGATCAAACTTTGGATCCGCATATGGATTCGCATAGGGGCCCGCACTGGGATCCGCATAGGGATCCGACATTGTCGTTTTGTGTTCCCGGCATACGCTCGTTGTGGTGAACGCTTGCGCTGCGGTGTGCGCAGGCGTTGCGGTGTGCGCGCACGCGGATACTCTGGTGTAGACAGGCGCTGTGGCGTGCAGAGGCGCTGTGGTGCACGCGAGCACTGAGGTGTACGCAGCCGCTGTGGTGCACACGGTCGATGCGGTGTTGTACATTCGCTGTGGTGTACACCGGCGCTGTGGTGCGCGCGCGCGCTGTGTTGCGTCGCACACGGCTGTAAGGGTGCACGCAAACGCTGCGATGTATACGCGCGCTGTGGTGCACGCGAGCATTGTGGTGTACACAGGCTGTGTGTGTCAGGTCGCCATCCATTTGCTGCTTGGGTCGTCGTCGCCCTTCGACGCCTCGCGTTTCGTTGTTTTTTTTTTTTTTTTTTTTTTTTTTTTTTTTTTTTGTTTTTGTTGTTTTGTTATATATATATATATATGTATTAAACCATGGCTTTCTTAATTGCTGCGCGCGTGTACTTTTGGTGGTCGAGTGCATTAGAATGCGCGCGTGTACTTTTGGTGGTCGAGTACCTGCCGCTGAGTTGGGTCGTGAAGATCTGAATTGGGGCCAATTCAAATGGTGTTCCCCCGAAGGCAAGCTTGGAGATGAGGACTCGCCCCTGCGAGCATTGCTAAGACTCATGTCTCGTTGATGTGCATCTGCGAGACCGGCGTCGCCAGTGAATGAGCGAAGCTCGAGCAACCTTTCTGCTACTGAGATGCGTCGACATCGCGAGGTGGTATTTGCTGTCAAGTTAAAGACGCACACGCTGAGGTGTTCGCGGCGTGATCGAACGCATGAGCACTAAGGGTGCCGGCAATCGTCTTGATTCTCGCTGGGTGATCAAGTGGAAGATCATCGAGGGCGCGCGTGATGTCAAGGGGCGACGAACGGCTCGCGGCCCCAAGGATCGTCAGAGGCATGATGAGGACCGTATGCGGACTGGTGTTGGAACGGCTTCGCCATGGGGTCAGCGTTCGATTTTCTCGATCGTTGCTCAGTACGGGTGGGATTTGGGCCGTCGATGTCTCGACGGTGTTTCTGCGCGGTAAGACGTTCAAACAGTTGGCCGTGAGGTTTGGTTGCGCGGTGAGAAGTGTGCAGTTTGATCTTCTTCCTGGTGGAGCGGCGCTGCTGAAACAGATCGATGGCCTTGAGAACGTCACTGAGCTTGTGGAGACGCTCGATAAGAAGCCTGGTGCTGGCACGAATTGCTCTCCGTGGGCCTGGCGAGTTCATCTGTCCGACACTTTCGCGGACTCGGGTATCTTTCTGACCGGAACTGACCGGCAGTGTTGGATGTTGTATAATGTTTATTCCATGGTCCCCGTGCTTTGGACTCATGTCGATGACTTGAACGCTTCGCGTAGTGATGGGATTCCTTAGTGGACATTTGTCAAGTTTCGTAGGCAATACGAAGATGTGACGGTCAATTTGGCTCCGTTCGAGCGCGTTGGCATGCTGGGTGGCCATCGCGATTGACCACGACAATTACGTCTCGCAGTTCCGGCCGGTCAGTGTGTCGCTGTTGACTGTCAATCCGGATGATAAGTTGGTGGACAGATCGTTGTAGGGCATGTTTTTGAGTTTGTTGCGCGGTGTTGCTTGGCTCGCGCTGACTAGCGCTGGTATTGCCGTATTCGTAGGTTGTTTCCAGCGTCGCTGTCAGAAGGTCACGGTGGGTGACGTCACGGGGCCGAATATTGTGCATGGGATTGGATCAAAAGGAAACCGTTCATGATCAAATCTGCCAGACTGGTGCGTCCCAGGTGTTTGAGTATGATTGCTGACTCTGCCCACCGAGCGGACGATAAATATTGCGCGGCTATCAGAGCAGCTAGCCTTGTGTCGATTGAGCTCAGGGATGGCATTCCTGGTGGCACGATGCGCGTGATGTTTTTTTTTCTTTTAAATAAATAACAATCGGGAGCAGCCGCGAGCCAGGTGGTGGATTGCACCATGGTTTCTGGCATCAAGTGTTGACGGGGTTTCCGCGGTGCTGGCGAGTTGCATGAAGGTGTAAGTTATAATGTGATTGCGTTTGGGTTGTATCTTTTTGGTGATGCCCATGTTGTCGTTTCTGTCGTAACTGCTGAGGCGATCGCCATGCCGAATGATCGGCGTCAGCTGAATGCCGTTAGGGCTACGCGTGACTGACAGGACTGTGGATCGTTGACCATGTCGTTGTGCTGTGACACCCGAGATGTGTTACGTGACGCTTTCACCAAGGGAACCACTGGCCCGAAGTGCGGTCGCCGAGGCGTTTGGTACAGGAGCGTTGGGGATGTTACGTCGTCAGAGTTATGTGTGGCCATCGCTTCCGTGACTGACTGTATCTTGCGATTGTGATTTTGTTTGCATATGTTATTTTGGACGGTTGCTCTTGACCCACTCTGTTGGTGATCGGTATTTCGTCAAATATCACGGTGCGCTGATATATGGATTTCGTCAGACATCATGTTGCAATGATGGTGGCCGGCTGGTCTGCGAGATGGATTTGGTGCCAGAATCGAAGAGCATATATTCCAAGATAACGACTGCTTCTTGAATCCTAGAAACCTTGACGGTACAATATCTCGAATATATTATTTTTCGTTTCTGCCAGCCGTGCCCTGTTGCCGCGGCCGCCTGGTTCCAGGCGACCAGCCTAACTGTTTCATCCGGGTTGATACACTCGGGGCCCTGAAGAAGGAACCCTCTTCGTTTGGGAGGGGCTCCGTGTACCTGAGTTGTTTTGCAGTGCTCCTGGGGTTTTCCTGAGGCTTTCCATGGAACATCGGAGTTTTAATTATGGGAAGAAGGGGCTTCGTTCCTTATTTAGGGTTCCTTAGGTCCACGCCCCGACAGTGCTGAGGATTGGCGCTGCCCGCGCCCATGACAAACAAAAAGTACACTCCTCCCTTGAGTTATTCGGGGGCCACCGCCGATCCGCTCATGCTACCTCCCTGCCCAGAGCCGCATGTTGCCTAAAACCGATAGCGGCCGCTCTGGGGCAGGCGGCCTTTCGTCCCCTGTGGGCAAGGCCCGCAGCGGCATCGACAGCGAGTCCTGTTCCGCATCGGAAGGGCATGCCGTCGGTCTTCGTGCCGAGTCTTTCCGTGCCGCAGGCTCGCGCCGCGTCCTCTGACCTGCGGTGAACCCGCCGCCAGCGTTCACGCTGAATGCCGCCGGCGATCCAGAGTCGGACGACGTTGAACCGGGTCAATGCAAACGGGGGTCAGCTAGGGCACCAGGTCCTGCAGGATCCTGCGAAGATCCCCCTGACCTGGGTCAGCGAGCCGCTCGTGGCCGCGGGGCGGCCGCGCATGTTGCGTGACCCGGGTTTGCGAAGATCTGCGTTACAGTTTTTTCTTCCTGCGTTGCAGTTTTTGGTTGCCTGCTGACCCTGGTCTGGATTGACCCGGGTCAGAAGATCCCCGAGCTGAACCGGCTTCCGTTTCGGCGACGGCCGACCTTTCACGGTTGAACGATCCCCGCGATGTCAGGAACACCAGCGCCGGGGTCGGCACGGCACGACCTTGCGGTGCCCACGTCGATCGTACCGGGTGCATTGCCCCCCCGAAGCAGTCTCTTGAACGGTGAGGATCAGGAGGGGAACAATCACACAGACACAGTTCATCGTCGACCCCCAGGAAAAATATGGGAACACATGGGAGGTGGCGGGGAGGACAAAAGCCCAGAACAGAAGGGGAAATGCAGGGAAGCCTTCTCTTTGTGTGTATTCAGTTGTGTGTGTGTCCTGGGGCCCCTTCCGAGGAGGGAGGCCGAGCGCCAGCTCCGAAGTGCAGGCCGGTGCAGAGGCTCGGTGTTCCGCTCGTCGCCGGTCGCTGCCCGCCCGCAGACGCGCGTCGTTGGCGCTCCCCAGAGGCGCCGGACGCGCACCTGGAGGTCCCCGCCCTGGAGTTCAGCGTGGGTGCCGACCAGAAGAGGCCTCGCTGGAGGGTTGAGGAGGGAGGAGGAGGGAGGAGGGATGGGGGAGGGAGGACGATGAGAAGGAACAGGAGGAGGAACAGGAGGAGGAGGAGGAGGAGGAGGAGGAGGAGGAGGAGGAGGAGGAGGAGGAGGAGGAGTAATGGACGGATGGATTGGGGGAGGGAGAAGAGTTCATGGAGGGGGGAGGGAGGGAGGTGGGCGGAAGTGGCGAAAAAGGGGGTGGGAAGCGATGAGGCGGAGCAGGGCGTGGAGGCTCAGAGGGAATCGTCGAAGGATCGGGAGGATGTGGAGGAGGAGCAGGAGGAGGAGTTGGAAAAGGAGGAGGAGGAGGCGGAATATGAGAAGCGAGTGGATGAGCAGGACTAGGGAGGGCAAACACAGCATGCATAACTAGGGCAGGTGGGAGGAGAGGAGAGGGATGCGTCAGACGTTCGGATGGGTAAGAATGGATGGGGGGTGGTCAAATGAGATAAGGGCGGGTGTCAGGGAGGGGCGATATGGAGAGAGTAGGCTGATGATGAGGAGGGGTGAACCAATGGAGATATGAAAAGGAGGAGGATGAAAAGGAGGAGGGGAGTTGGAGGATACAGCACGATGATGAAGCAGGGGTTGGATGAGGACGCATGAGCAGTCACGAGGAACACCGAGGAGGGACGAGGATGCGGATGAGGATGAAAGGCTGCAGTTGGAGCGACAGGAACGCGACGAGAAGCAGGATCAGCACGAGGAGCATGGACAGGATGAGGCAGGAGGACGATGATGCTGATGATGAGGATGAGGATGAGGACGAGGACGCTGATGATGATGCTGCTGATGATGATGATGAGGATGAGGATGATGATGAGGATGATGTTGTTGTTCATGATGGTGATGATGAGGATGATGATGCTGATGCTGATGCTGATGCTGATGATGGTGCTGATGCTGATGCTGCTTCTGATGATGATGAGGAGGGTGAGGATGAGGATGAGGATGAGGATGAGGATGAGGATGAGGAGGAGGAGGAGGAGGAGGAGGAGGAGAAGGAGGCATGCTTGTTTCGGTGCGCTGCGCGCAGCATCCGCACCGTCTATTCCGTGCTTGAGTTTGTGGACAGGCATGAAGCAGAGTGGGACCTTCTATGACGCTTCTGGCCAGTCTTCCGAGCTGCTTGCCCGGGTCGAAGTTGGGGCACCTCATGGGACACACTCTCAGGGTAGGCAAGAGGCAACGGGAGGGTTAGGAGGAGAAGGAGGCTGAGGATGTAGAGGAGGAGTGTCGGATGATGAAGTACAGTCCAGGCCGGCCCAGCATAGTATTCCGAGCTGTTCCTTACGGCAGGTTCGCGTCGTGTCGATTGGCGGCGACCCCGCCGCTGGCGTTCCACGTTGAACGCCGCGGGCGACCCAGCGCCGTTCGATGTGGAGCAATCCGGGCCGTTTCGGCCACGGCCGACCGTTCCAGGGTGCAACGACCCCCGCGGCGTCCGGAGCCGCCGCCGCAGTCGGTGCGACACCTGTTCTTGCCATGCGACCAGGGCGCCCCGCGGCTGAGGAGGGAGGGAGGAGGAGGGGGGAGGAGGGGGGAGGAGGAGGGGGGAGGGAGGGAGGGAGGAGGGAGGGGGGGAGGAGGCGCCCCGCGGCTGAGGAGGGAGGGAGGAGGAGGGGGGAGGGGAGGCGCGCCGAATCCCCAAGTCGTCGGGCGGCCCGGGCCGGGCCTGCAGGCGCGCGCGCGTGCGCCTGCCGTGCGCGCTCCCCCTCTCCGTGCCAGGCCGCGCGACGGTCCGCCTGGGCGCTCCCCCCCCCCCCGCGCTCACCGAGCCCGCCCCCCCCCCCTCCGAGCGCGATCCACCGACTCCCCCACGCCCCGCGAAGGGCGGCCCATTCTTCCCCCGTGGCCGAGGGCGCCCTCGAGGGCGCGAGGCGGTTCGCGCCTCGCGCTTCGGCGCCGAAGTCTCCTCCTCCTGCTCTTCTCCCCGGTGAGGCGGCGCGAGAGCGCGAAGTTTTTCGCACTTCGCGCAGCGCGAAGCGCGAAGTTGGGAGCCCTTGTTGACTCGGGCCTGTCCCTCTTAGAGGAGGAGTATTAAAACAAATAGTCTTGGGACGATTTTTTTGACTACGACCATCTTTGAGTATGATTGGACAATTTTTTCACCGTTTGTCAAAAATGCGCCTGTAGGGGGACGTGCCCGAGCTAATCTTACCCCACCCCCCACGTCAGTAACTCCCCCCTACAGTCGAGTCGGGCATGCCCCTCTACAGGAGGAATCCTCGAACATTGTAATCGGCACTATTGGGACGATTTTGTTTTAGGATTTTTTGGTTAATGTTGATGTTTGTTGTTGTTGATTGTTTGGTTTTTCTTACAAAATCCGCCTGTTGGAGGACATGCCCGACCTAACCCCAGTATGTTCTTATTCATTGGCTTACGCCACACCGCCGACCCCTTGGGACGGCAGCAATCGTCCCCCGCGTGGCCTGTCCGGACAGCCTGTGAGGCCCCTCTAGCCACGTTCTGGAGCCTTCTTAGGACCGTCCTGCCATTCCCCAGGGCCGTTGCTATCGTTTCTGGGGCCTTCGTGGGGCGCCCGGAGGCCGTCGTGGAGCCTTTTGGACAGTGTTTTGGGGTGCCAGAGGTCGATCTTGGAGGTTTACTGGGCCGTTGTTGGCGCCCGTTGAAGCCCAAGACGCGAATATGCTGAAAATGTAAGCTTTCCCTACGGAATGGGACGGTTTTTGCTTCTGGAGGCCTGCTTGGAGCGCCTCGTGGTCGCGTATGCAAACGTCTTGGACGCCCATGGGGCTATCTTGAGGCAATCTTGTGCGGTTTGGACCGAAGCGTCTCCCGCGTGGGCCGTCCGGACAGCCTTTGGGAGCCCTCTTGGCCCGTTTTGGAGAAGAGGGACCGTCCTGCGGCTTTCCTGGGCCGTTGCAATGGCTTCTGGAACCTTCGTGGATCGCCCGGGCGCCGTCTTGGAGCCTTTTTTGGAGCCTCTTGGGCTGGCGAGGGTCGATCTTGGAGGCTTCTTGGGCCGTTTTGCGCCGCGTGGAGGCCGAATGGGCGAATGTGGTGAAAATGTACGTTTTCCCTAGGTACTGGGACGATTTTTGCTTCTGGAGGGCCTCTTTGGGGCGCCTCGTGATATTGTTTCAAACGTCTTGGGGACTTATGGGGCCGTCTGGAGGCAATCTTCGAAGTTTTGGGGCGATTTCTCGTCGATTCGTAGCTCTCTTGGACCGTTCAGGGAACCTTTGGAACCTTTTTGGTTTGTTTTGGGGCCTCCTGAGGCTCCGAGTGTGCGGATGATGGATTGGCCCCCCCCCCCCTTCAAAACCGGCCGGACCAGGCCCCCGGGGGAGGGGTTTGTCTAAGCCTCCCAGATGGGGTCGGAGTAGATGGGGTCGGAGGATCGCGCCGCATCGCCGCTGCATCGCCGATGCGGCTCGATGCGGAGCCCGATTTTATCCGCGCCGGCGTCGCCGATGATCGCCCACGTCGACGATGCATCGCCAGTGGATCGCCAATGCATCGCCGATGCAGCGCCGATGCATCCCCGATGTATCGGCGATGCGGCGCGATCCTCCGACCCCATCTACTCCGATCCCATCTAGGATGCCTCTAGTTTGGGGAGGGGGAAACATCTCACACGCCGTGACCCCAAGGGGTCGGCGAATTCTCGAGCAGTGGTGAAGCGTCCTGGCTTCGGCTTTCCTATCAACCCGCCAATGATTTGAACTAAGAAGAACTAAGAACCTCTTGTGATGTGCACGAAGTGTTCTTCGACCATTTCTGTCTGAGATTGTCTTGTTCCCAACCATCCTGTGGTGTTGGGTCATCGTTTGAAGAGACGGTCCCCGCGTTCCTCTCCTCTTCTCCTCCTCCTCCCACTCCCTCCTCCCCCTCCTCCCTCCTCCCTGCGGTTCACCGACCCAGTACAGCGTCCCGTGGCCCCATAGGGGGCTCCACCGAACGTCCCAGTGGCACCTCCCGCATGCGTCCGCCACCACCCAGCACAGCCCTTGCTCCCTGCGTTTCGCTCACCCAGTACAGCGTCCCGTGGCCCCATAGGGGGCTCCACCGAACGTCCCAGTGGCACCGCCCGCATGCGTCCGCCACCACCCAGCACAGCCCTTGCTCTCTGCGTTCCACCCACCCAGTACAACGTTTCGTGGCCCCATAGGGAGCTCCACGGAAGGTCCCAGTGGCACCGCCCGCATGCGTCCGCCACCACCCAGCACAGCCCTTGCTCCCCACGTTTCACCCTCCCAGTACAGCGTTTCGTGGCCCCATCGGGGGCTCCACCGAACGTCCCAGTGGCACCGCCCGCATGCGTCCGCCACCACCCAGCACAGCCATTGCTCCTGCGTTCCACCCACCCAGTACAGCGTTTCGTGGCCCTATAGGGAACTCCACGGAAGGTCCAGTGGCACGCCCGCATGCGTCCGCCACCACCAGCACAGCTCTTCTCTGCGTTCCACCCAGTACAACGCTTCGTGGCCCCATAGGGAACTCCACGGAAGGTCCCAGTGGCACCGCCCGCATGCGTCCGCCACCACCCAGCACAGCCCCTGCTCCCTGCGTTTCACCCACCCAGTACAGCGCTTCGTGGTCCCAGAGGGAGCTCCACGGAAGGTCCCAGTGGCACCGCCCGCATGCGTCCGCCACCACCCAGCACAGCCCTTGCTCCCTACGTTTCACCCACCCAGTGCAGCGCTTCGTGGTCCCATAGGGAGCTCCACCGAACGTCCCAGTGGCACCGCCCGCATGCGTCCGCCACCACCCAGTACAGCCCTTGCTCCTTTTTTTGTCACCCACCCTTCACAGCGTTTCGCGGCCCCATGGTGGGCTCCTCCAAATCCCCCAATGGGACCGCCCGTATGCGTCCCACACGCCTAATTTGGTATTTTCGCCCACCCAGTGCAGCGTTTCGTGGCCTCATAGGGAGCTTCGCCGACGGCCCCAGTGCTACCGCCCGCGTGCGTTCCCCCCCGCCCAGCGCAGCGCTTCGTGGTCCCACAGGGAGCTTCACCGAAGAAGATATTCACAATTGCGGTACCCAGGATTGTTCTAACACATCGGGGTTATGTTCTAATAATGTTATGTTGTTCTTAAACATGGCTGGGTTCTAAGAACACTTCGTCGTAGGCCTATGAGAATGCTGGGATGGTCGGTCGCTGTTCAAGTCCCCCCCAAGCGAGTACGGCACAACTCGGAGTATGTTCTTACTCGGCAGGCATGGGCTGCAGGGTATACGCATGTGTGAATGCGCGCTTCTGCGCAGGATGTTCGCAGTTGACTCGGACACTTGCTGCGGTAAGATATGTCTTGACAATTGCAGGTGGCGTGACGATTCACCCATGATGTTGACAGTTCATGTTCTTCACACCCAGTCGTCATAGTTGCAAACAATCGTGCCCCGTTTTCAGCGAGGCACATCGATTCGCTTTACAATCACGTGGTCGCGGCCCGGGACGACCTGGAGCTTCACGCCCAGTCGTTGGGTGACACTTCCGAGGACGGGATCTTGAAGATTGATTAGAATTTAACTTACGTGGCCCTCTGCTTAAGCATCTGGCGCTGTGTATCCGGGCACCTACGCATGCCAATCCCACCACCACATCTGGTTCTGTGCATCCAACCACATTCCTTCATGAAATGGTGCTTGCGTGCACTCACTGCAGTGCCTTCAGGTCGCTCTAATCGCCTGACGACCCATATCCAAAACTAGATGGGGTCCAAGTAGATGGGGTCGGAGGATCGCGCCGCATCCCCAATGCATCGCCGCTGCGGCTCGATGCGGAGCCCGCGTTTCCCCACGCCGACGCCGCCGATGCATCGCCGACGTCGCCGATGCATCGCCGATGCATCGGCGATGCACGGGCGATGCGGCGCGATCCTCCGACCACATCCACTCGGACCCCCATCTGGGAGGCCTCCGATCCAATGCACGGGCTCCTCCCACGTGTACCCTCCCGTGCCCGCGGAGTCAAGAGCTCACCACGATCGGACTGCCTGGGCTCGCCGAGGGCGGTGTTTCCCCGGCTCTCGCTCGGCAGCCTCTGCATGTGCTCTCGCCGCCCTGCCGCCAAGCCGTCTGCACTGCGGCATCGCTTGTCATGGAGAGAGGGATGCTGCACTGCAGGGGGAGCCCATGCCAAGGAACACCCTGCCTGCCTCCAGGGTGCCCTGGGTTTCTTGGGTTTCGATGGTTTTGTCACGGTTTTGCGATGGGAGGCGTGGCGTTCCCACACCAGAGCTCGATCGACGTCCTGGGGTCTCAGGGTGGTGTGTTTTGTGAGAGGTTTCTTGTGGAGGGGCCTTTACTGTACCTTAATGCACTGGGTGCTTGTTCAATGAGCCAGACTGCGGTGTGGACCAGTTTGGGAAACTTTTGCAGCAGATGAGGAAGATCAATGATGAGGACGTGCGGCAGTGCGATGGGGCACACCCTGATGAGGGAGTGTTTTAGAAGCCGAGCGCAGCTTTCGATTTGAACGAATGAGACACCACTATTCGGGTGAAAACGACATTGGGGGGATGGGCGGTGCTTTCGGCTTGCGATTTAGCTTCGCGCTGTGTCGACCACGTATGTGCTCCTCCAGCTGTTCTTGCACTTCAGGACCCTTTTAGCTATTTCACCGCTCGGTCTCAGTTCTGTTGGAGCGAGCCTTAGCGCTATCGCACATCATTCGCTCCCTCTAGTATGTAAACTGAATCTAGCACTCTCTGGTGAGTGATAAGAGGCTGGCGGTGGCATCAACCTTCATCTGCATTTGGACGCTGCGTCTTCCCATATATCTATACGGTTTCCACGGGCGTCTCTTATACCATTATCCATTCATCTGTCGATCTCACTAACTAATTGCTAGGGCAACCGTCGGGACAACCGACAGGATCCCTGCCAGGACAACAATGGGGTCCCTCTCTCTATATATACCTCGGCCTCGCTACCTATTGGTCTCAATATCAATCAATCGATCGCACGATCAATTTATTTGCCGACCGCATTATCTATCAACCAGAGCAGTTATCGTGACAAATAACCAGCCAACCCTTTCTCTCTCTCTCTCTCTCTCCCTCTGGATTTCTATATACACGTATATATATACACAATATATGTATATATATATATATATATCAATCCATCTGTTTAGCGATCTCAGGTTCTAGCGATCGATCTCACCAGTTACCGATCTGCAGATCTCACTATCAACATATCGGGGCAAGCATTGGGACAACCATCGAGATATCTAACCATTCTAGCATCCTCTCATCCGTCGGGTTCACGATCTACCAATTGGAACCACTATCGGACCACCATCGGGGCCAGCACTCCATCGTTCCATCTTGCTACCAGTCTCACTACCTATCGGTCATACGTTTTTTTCTGCAGAGTTAGCTATCAATACAACCTCTGCATATATCTGGACAGCCATCGGGGCAGCCATCGGGACAAACATCGGTACAACCATCGAAATAAGCATCGAGACAAGCATTAAGACAACTGTCGGGGCATGCCATCTGGACATCCATCGGGATCTCCACCTGGCCTGTTTGACGAGTTAGGTGGCCGTCTTAGGGTCCTCTCTTGGCCGTCTGGGGCCTCTCTTGGTACTCTTTGGGGCCGCCTTTGGGGCCTCTTGGGCAGTTTTGGGGCTTCTTGTGTTGTATTGGTCTCGTTTGTCGGCTGTCTTAGGGCTTGCTTGGGGGCACCTGGGACCGCTTTGGGTTTTCGGAAGCCCGTAAAGACAAGACCGCAAACGCGTTTTCATAACAATTGGACAACCATTGAAGTTTGATTACTCGGGCTCTCCTGAGGGCGTTCTTGGAGCCTTCTTTGGCCGTATCGGGGGTCTCTCGAACCGTGTCGAGAGATTATCTTGATCCGCCTTGGAGCCATCTCGGGTCGCTTGAGGCCAAATTGAGAACCTCCCCCAACAAAAACAAATCTTGGGGCCATGCTGGCCATATTGGAGCATCTTTGAATTGTCTCGGAGACCATCTTGGAGCCATCCGGGAGCCATCCTGGGCGGGAACGCCGTCGAGAGGCGCGCCGTTCGGGTGGCCCACGGGTTGGGCCGAAGCCCACTGGGAACGTTCTGGAAGGGCCAGAGCGAGTCCAGACGGAGTTACCACGTTTTGAGCGCCATGCACGTTTACAACGTTCTGGCAGGCCAGGTGGGAGCGGCGGACATCTGGTGTCGGGTGGGTGCTAGTTGGAGGGTGGCCCGCACGGGGGGTGAAGGCGGGGGCCCTAGAGGGGCCTTCTGAGGCCCCTTGCCCCCTCCCCTGGACCTGCAGGGGTGGGGTCGCGGGTCGTCGGAAGTCTAGGATGACCCAAGATGGCTCGAGGAGGGCCTCAGGGAGCCCAAGACGACTTCCAAGATGGCCCACAACAACCCAAGATGGCCCACAACCTCACCAAGACGGCGCCGAGTGACCTGTCGGGCCCCCGCTGGCTCCCAATGGGGGCCTTCAAGGGCACCCCTGGGGCCACCTCTTGGAGCCCTCGTGGGGCACCCTTGGGGGCCTTTGGGGGCCATCTTCGGGCCATCTTGGGTGAGATCGATCACAGGAGGTCACCCCCCCATGTGGCTCACCCCCCATTCGCACCCGCCCGATAGTGGCCGCTGGCCAATCCCGCCTTTGCGTTCGTGCCGTGGTTCAGAGGCCGTGGGGGCATGTGCGGGTCTCTTGGAGGGACGGGACTCGTGGGGGCTTGCAGCAAACCCGCATAGTAAGGATGGGCAACCTTCCCAAGGGTACCCTTGCATCCCTGCCCCTTCGGCTCATCCTTGGCCTCTTTCGATGGCCGCGCCCTGCTCGAAGATCCTCGCAGCGGCCTTCCCAGGCCCTTGCATCTTTCCCGCGCATCCTCATTGTATGGGTTCACTGTGTTCGGGTGCGGGTGCGTCCTGGGGCATTGTTGGATTTCGGGGCCTCTTGGGGGTCTTACAGTCGGGGCGCCGAAGAAAGAACCCTTCTCGTTTGGGAGGGGTTCAGTGTTCACTAGTTGTTTCTCAGTTCGCCTCAGGTGTTCCTTGGGCTTCCGATGGGAGACCGAAGTTTGACTCATGGACAATAGGGGCCTCGTTCTTCATTTAATCGCTTCGCTCATTCCGCCAGCCCTGGAGCCCTCTTTAGGGCCGCTTGGGGACCTCTTGGGAGTCTCTTGGGGCTCCTTAGCGGCGTCTTGGGGGGCCTCTTGGAGGCCAGCTTGGGCTATCTAAAGCCCCCTCGGAGCCATCTTGGGCCAAAAAGGATCCTCTGCCACGTCGCGGGGGAGCCCGTCCAGACCCACGGAGGGGGGGGGAGGTACACTTCCCGAGCAGGGAAAGGAAGGAGGTTGGAAAAGGAAACGCCCCAGACCACCTGCGCCCAGAGGGCTGGTGGGATTACTTCCGGACGTAACTCGTGTTTCCCCTCTCCCCGCTCCCCCCCCACGTAACGGTGACGCGGGGAAGCCGGCTACAGGCATGAACGCGTGCAGTTTCTCGTAGAGGAGGTGGAGGAGGAAGGTGGAGGAGGAGGAGGAGGAGGAGGAGGAGGAAGAGTAGCAGCAGCAGCAGCAGAAACAGCAGCAGCAGGAGGCGGTGAAAAAGGAGGAGGATGAGGAGGAGGAGGAGGAGGAAGAAGAGGAGGGAGGAGGAGCTGTGTAGAAGGTGAGGAGGGGGAGGAAGAGCAAGAGGAGGAGGAGGAGGAGGAGGAGGAGGAGGAGGAGCCGGAGGAGGAGGAGGAGGAGGAGGACGCGGAGGAAGAGGAGGAGGGGCAGGAGGAGGAAGGAGGAGGAGTTGGAGGAGGAGGAGAAGGAGGGGGTGAAGGAGGGGGAGGAGGCCGAGGACGAAAACGACGACTACCGACGTGGCCCGGAGGCCCCGACAGGTGCACGCAGACACGGGGGCCTCGTGGGGCACACGGATGTTGCCGCTGCTGCAGCGGCAGCAGGTGGTGTACAGAAAAGTTGTGGTGCACGCAGGCAATGGGGCGCACGCAGGGCGAGCTCACACATAGAATGTGGTGCACGCAGGCACAGTGGTGTACACAAGCGCTGCGGTGCACTTGGTTGCTTTTTTATACGCGGGCATTGAGGTGCACGCAAGCGCAATTGTGCATGCAGGCGCTGTCGTGTACACAAGCACTGTGGTGCACACGGTGCTTCTGCTGCTACTACTACTACTACTAATAGTATGCGTATGCCTACTACGACTACTGTTACTACTACTACTAGTACTACTACTACTACTACTACTACTACTACTACGACTACTACTACTACTACTACCACTACTACTCTTGCTACTACTACTACTACTACTACTACTACTACTACTACGACTACCACTACTACTACTACTACTACTACTACTACTACTACTTGTACATTACTGCTACCACCTCTACTACTAAGACTAGAACTAATACTACAAGTACGAGTGCTATTGGTACTCCGACTCCAACTACCACTCGTACTACCTCTACTACCTCTATTGTTGCGACTACTACTACCACTACTAC